TCCAAAAGAGAAACCAAGTGTGAATATTAAAGCAGCACTAAGGGTGTATAACTTTTTGTACGACTATAACTTAAACCAAAAAAAGAGAGAAAAACTCGTAAAAAAGAGACTCTTATAATAATGCAGGTCGCGACACAGTGATGGAAAGAAACTAACAGCAGCCATAAGCTTAATGCTGCAGAAATGGTTAGCAGAGGGGTAACATTTTCCTGCCTCCAGTATTCCCTTTGTTCTAACTCCAGCAAACACTGTGACATGATCATGATGTCAGCAGTAAATGGGTCTATTTGAGAATGCATTACTAAAGTAGCTGATCAAAAAAAGTCAGTGTTGGTCATGTGTAATGTCCTCTTTTCTGGTAAAGGCCCTTTGAGGCTAATTCTGAAACGAATGAATTAAAGATGATGTAATGAATGAACGTTGAACCATACTGTAAGAACAATCGAACGGCAACTTTCTTAAGGAAGCATTGCATATTTTAGGCAAGACAAGGTCGTGTGGTTTTAGTCATAAACTGTAATCAGCTGACAGCTGCTGTTCATCATCATTTACAGGTTTGAACCTGGTTTGAACCTGGTTTGAACACAACAAATAACAACCGAATATGGACAGAACAGGTGAATAAGGTAGAACAATTTCATTATAGATATCATATCATATACCATGAAATGCTCCAGTTGATTGTTTACGTTATTGGATTTTTTGAAATGTTTGTTTGTTTGTATAGCCTTTATTCATCCAGGTAAAAATCCCATTGAGATCAACGACTCTTTTACAAGGGAGACCTGCCGCACATTGGTTACACATGTAACAGAAAACAAAAAAGGACACATACAACATAATGACAGGGGTACAATTTACAAACTTATTCACAAAGACAGGTACCAGGAGTATCAAATATCAATTTCTCAAGCTGTGCTTTAAAATGATGCAGGGGAACCAAAATGCTAATTTTTTATATTTTTTGCAGTGTTCCATGCTAGAGGAGCTGCGCACATAAAAGTTTTAGTGCCTAAAACAGTCCTAGCACTTGGTACATGTAATAAAAAAACACATCCTGGGACCTTAGGCAATAGCTACTTGTGACTCTCTGTGATATCAGTGAGCAGATGTAAGGTGGTAGTTTACCCAGCATGGCTTTATAAATGAACATGTACCAGTGACTGAGTCTCCGAACAGTAAGTGATGGCAGACTTGCCCTGGCATACAGTGATGAGAAAGTGCTTTACAGTTTGTAACAAATCTCAGTGCACTGTGATAGGCGGCATGTTATATTTGATATGCAAATTAAGGCATGATATAACTTCTTGTGAATTTAAGATAAATCTACAGACAGATATAGACAATGTAAAATAAACACCTAAATATTAGCTCTTACAAAATGAAGACACAAGACAGTATTAGGTTAGTTGAAAGCAATAATATTAAGTTGAACCTATTTAAACGTAATATTATTGCTTTCAACTGCTGTGAAATCTGTTGATATAATACATTTAGTTAAAGTCAACGGTTCAGTGCAGATATATTTCCTTGATAATAAAATAACATAATAAAGATGAAATACAAAAAAATAAAAACCTACATAATAGCCTGCCACGATAATTGAGACAACTGGGAATACAAATAAGGCTCTGAACTATGATGACTTAATGTTCCTATACAGTATATAAAGTAGTCATCTGGAACGTGAAAAGATGTTAGAGAAGGTTGGGCCCCGAATTCATTAAGGCAGTTTTATAACGGCTTCAGTTTAATGTCGGAAACAGGAAGCTGAAGGCAAGGTAAAGCATTAGAGTCACTTGAAATATAGCGCATATCCGAACGTATATAGATTTTTCTTTAGTTGGATCTTTTTTAGGTTGCTAAAATACAATTTGCTGACAGCCACATCCATAACAGTTCATTGCTTGGATTCTGAGCTGATAGTTGGGCCGATTCCCCCCCCCTCTTATGCACTGACTATTGACTTTCTCTGAGTTTATGGCTGCCTCTGTCACCTCCATATTCCTCTCTTATCACCTCTCCATATAACGCATATTTGCTTCAGTAATTACAGGAATAAGAAGATACAGATAAGGAGGCCTGTAACTCTTTCTAGGTCTGAATCATCAGTGTATCCCTGGTATGTTGCTGCTGGTACTTAGTTTTAACCAGCCATGAAGATATTTGCTGGCCTTCCTTGCGCTGCAGGCATGATAAAAAATAATCCTATTTAATAAAACAGATAACACTGCTTCAGAATCAGAATCAGCCTGCACCAGAATGCTCAATTAACTTACAATATCACATTATCAATTAATCATAATATGATGTATTCATATTTTTTCATACTGTGTGTCATAAGTGTCATGGGCTGAGTAGCAAACTAAGGCCCAATCCCAAATCACCCCCTACACCCTACCCCACACACTCCCCTCCGTTTGCGCGGAGGGTCCGCCATATTAAGTGCTGCTCCAAACCAACGAGTGTGGAGCAGTGTGGAGGGGGAGTGGGCTATCAAGCCCTCAAACAGCGAGTCTGCATCGGTGCTGACTTGAGACCGGTCTCTACCTGACCGGAGTCAACGCTGTGTGTGTCCGTCAGGAAACACGCTGTTTACAAGTAGTTCCAGCAAACATCCACTGACAAACTGCGATGTTAACAACCTCATGATAACCTCATGTTTTAACTTAGGATCATACCTGTGTTTAGTCTAGAAAAAGGTAAATGTGTGCATTTTATTATAAAGTTGTGTATATTTACAGACTGTTGCAAAAACTAAGAAGCTTATAAACATCAGGTTTAAAACTAAAAGAGTTTTGCAAAAAAGTAACACAATTAAAGATGTTTGGAGTTTTATTTGAGTTATTAATTTACATTTTTTGTCAAAGAGATGCTGATTTGAAACCGTTGTTACATACAGTTACGGCATTTCCTGTTTCTGCTGGAGAGAGGGGAGGCCGTCCCAATGCGTTGCGCAGTATTTATACCCTTAACCCTTAATGGAGGGAACTTCATTCAGCTGCGAGTGTGGCTACAGACGGAGTTCACTCCGTCACGGAGGTGTAGGGTCAAGGGGGTGATTTGGGATTGGGCCTAAATGAAGTACATTTTTTGTACATGTTTTTTTTTCTATTACCACACTTGTAGCTTGAATTAGCATTAGTTGATTGGCATGCTAACCTTAGCTAAACATTACCCATTATTTATTTTAATTTGATTTTAAGAAAACCACTATTGCAAATGCATAGTAGAAAGCCTAGTTTTGAATAACATTTGCATATGAAAAGAAAAAAAGAAAACCTAAAAATAAATATATTCCAGAATTTATCGTCCATTATTACACAGTTTATTTGAAACAGACCGCTGCTAAGGACACTCTGATCAAGGGACTCTGCAGTCATATCAATCCACAGAAAGAAGTCTGGTCAATATAATGTCAGCTGTGGCCCAAAAACAGTAAGAAAAAAAATCTGAAAACACTGTGGAATACTTTCCATTTATGTTTTTGTTGTCATTGAGGAGAGTACAACACTTTGGATATTATGTCTAAACTGTCCCCGGTAAAAAGAACAAGAAAACAACGCAAGACAAGGAAAGAGGTTGAAGACTCAGAGAGCTGTACCAAAGACTAATCAGCAGTAGAAGATAGAAAGTAAACACTAAAGGGAACACAGTATGAACTCCTTTTATGGCTGTGTTTAAAGACTGGTTAATGGAAATGAACATGTGAACAGATTTCGGCAGTTAAAGTGCAGAAAGCTGCCATAATTTAAAGGTCCCATGACATGGCAATTTCTACTGATCATAATTTCATTGTTGAGGTCTACTAGAATAGTTTTACATTGTTCAATGTTCCACAATCACATTGGTTTTCTCATACAGCATCTCTGTATAGTATGTGTATTCACTCTCTGTCCTACACGGCTTGTTGGAGATCCTGCCCCCCCCCCTTCCCTATGAGCCCACTGTGCTCTGATTGGTCAGCTCGCCCACTCTGTTCTGATGAGTCCACCACCGTTACAGCGAAACATCAGTGATTATGTGTTAGCTACAATGGTGTTAGCAACCAGAAAATGACAGCAGTAATGACAAACAGATGAGAATGCTGCGTGGGGTCTGGGTGCCGTGTTGGTGGGACGTTGCCGGGTTCGCTGCTCCGCCCTTTGAGGCTCGAGGAGCGGACAGTGTGAGCTGGGTTACTGGTGTAGTTTCCTGGTTGCTGCGTGGGGTCTGCGAGACAGCGAGTGAGTGAGTGAGTGAGTGAGTGAGTGAGTGAGTGAGTGTGTGTGTGTGTGTGTGTGTGTGTGTGTGTGGGGGTGTGTGGGTGTGTGTGTGCAGAGCTCCGCGGATTGGTCCATTCGGTCGGCGTTACGCCACTATACTCAGGAAGAATAAAATGGAAAAAGATAAATCTCCAACGAGGCGTTCTGGGGCAGCATAGACAGGTATTTTCTGTGTTAGAGTTTTACTCGCTACAGGGTGTACTTTGAGGGTTTGTGACTTTGCAGACCGTTTACATGCAGAAAAACCTACATAACACACAAGGAGACGGGTAATAACCGGAAAAGCATGTCATGGGACCTTTAAAGTTACGTTGCAGTCGCCGCAGTTTCAGCTGTTGCTAGGCAGAATGTGTTATTTTCTCTTTAATGACCGGCTCACTTCAAATGATCCCTTGCATATTGACATTCTTGTTCTGGCAATGTATGTACAAATAATCAGCTCACCACATGACTGCTGATACTTCCACAGCTCCATCCCAACAATCTCCTTCTTATGTGCTTAGCATTGTTAGCATTAGCATTGTTGTTTTAACTAAGACCTAATGTTCTGTTTGTGTGGGGATTAACTCTCCCGGAATCCTCTTTATGGTCAGATTCTTTAATCTCAATGAGCAGGAATGTTTCCCATAAAATAGATTTGTCTCTGATTGAATTAAATTATAATGGTTCTGCAGCGCCTACACTTCAGCAGGTAACAGACTCCTCACTACTAATTGAATATCTGTTTGTCCACAGGTGTCAAGTTCCAAAGGAGAACCATTGGTTTTGTGATCAGTGGGATCTGGCTGTATTCCGGGCTGTGGGCGGTGCTCCCTCTGATGGGATGGGGCAGCTACGGGCCGGAGCCGTTTGGAATCTCCTGCTCGATAGACTGGACCGGTTATGAGATGTCCCTGAACCACTCAACCTTCATCATTGCTATGTCTGTTCTCTGCACATTCGTCCCCTGTCTGGTCATCCTTTTCACTTATTTTGGTATTGCGTGGAAGCTGCACAGGGCCTACCAATCCATCCAGAGCAACGATTTGCAATGTCGCAGTGTTGAGAAGAAAATAACTCTGGTAAGTATAAGGCAATCAATGACATAATGAGACGGTCAGTTTTTTCTTTTACTGATTGCACATCGTAACAACAAGTCCTCCAACTCATACGACCAAATGGGCCGATTGTTCAGGCCCTTATTACGACCAAATATGTCGTTTTTTCAAGCGTTTAATACGTCCTATAATTACGTTTTAAAGTTTTCGCCCTTTAGTGCTCCCGTTGAATGCAAACGCTACGGAGGGTCGTTTATTCACAAATAACCCTCTCTGTAAAATCCTAAATTGTAGGATAGTTTGGCCATTAAAACGCTTTTTGATTAGATTTCTAGCGAGAAGTGTATATTGTACTTTTAGAATCCACGTCCAGTCGATATGTAGGATCTATAGTTTGATAGATATTACGAAGATGATTTGAGGTATGCAGCAGCCTCCATGTAAAGTTACGGGTTGAAAACTATAGGTTACTTACGTAACCCCAGTTCTCAGAGTAACATGAAGTGAGATGTCTCACTATGGGATGCGCCTCAACGCGTATGCAAACAGAAGCATCAATCTCATTACGCCAATCCTGATTGGCTGGTGATCTTGACGTCTACGTCAGGGAATCCACCAATCCTTTAAGTAGCTTGCGCTACGTCCCAGCGTCATTCAAAATAAGGACGGTCAATCAAATTTGGGACGGGTGGCGCAGTGGTCTGTGCATCCGATCATCAGATCAAGGGGGAGTGCTGGGGAACTCCAGTTCGAAACCCGCTCCTGCCGCCACTGCGTCAGGCCGTTGTGTCCTTGGGCAAGACACTTCACCCGGATTTGCTCCTGTGGGTATTGTCCACAGTACATGTATAATACCAATGTGTACCTGTAAAAGCGCCTCGATGACTTCGAGGCGTGAAGATGGACGGTGTGGCGCAGTGCGCTGTGCAATGATCATCAGATCAAGGGGTGAAACCCGCCGCTGCTGCGTCTGTAAAGCCGGTGTGTCCTTGGGCAAGACACTTCACCTGAACTTGCTCCTGTGGGTATTGTCCACAGTATCTGACCATTGCATGTATGATATATGTGTAATGTGTGTATATGTAGAAGCGCTTTGAGTCATTGATAAAGCGCTATAATAAATGTAAGGAATTATTAATTATAAGCACCTCTTCTCGCTTCGCCTTAGCAAGAAGGGCCGTCTGGTGAGACATCTCACTTCATGTTACTCTGAGAACTGGGGTTACGTAAGTAACCTATAGTTCTCATTCATAACACTCCGTTCGATGTCTCACTATGGGATATTGAAACTCCCGTATTGCTAGACATGCTTATCTCGAAAATCACCAAAACAACCAGAACTTAACAGGTAAAACCCTGTCTCAACACAGGGCCCAGCACTGCGCGGGCCACACTTGGAGCAGAGACATCTAGCCTGTAAAAGCGGACAAAAGTGAGCGGTGAGGACCAGCTCGCTGCTGCACAAATGTCTTGGATGGAAACACCCTTGAACAAAGCCCAGGATGTAGCCAGTCCACGAGTAGAATGAGCATGCAGGCCCGTTGGTGCCTGAAAACCCTGACTCGTATAAGCCAGAGCAATCGCTTCCACAATCCAGTGGGAGAGCCGTTGCCTGGTAACGGGCTTGCCCTTATGAGGGTTAGCCCAGGATACAAAGAGTTGGTCATTGCATCGAAACTCTTTTGACCTGTCCATATAGGTGCGTAAAGCACGGACTGGGCACAGCAAATTCGGCCGCTGTTCCTCAGAGGAACACAGTGGCGGAGGAAATGCCTCAATGTCAATGGGGGTACATGAGCCAACCACCTTAGGTACAAAGGCAGGGTTGGGCTTCAGCAACACTCTCGTTTGCCCCGGGGCAAACTGAGTGCATGAAGGATGTACAGAGAGCGCATGAATGTCACTGACTCGCTTGGCAGATGCCAGAGCCAGTAACAACACTGTCTTCAGTGACAGGTGTTTCATGTCAGCTTCTTCCAGGGGTTCAAATGGAGGTCGAGTGAGCCCATCTAACACCACTGCCAAGTCCCATAAGGGCACCAGTGACCTGGAAACAGGGAGGAGCCTGCGAGCCCCTTTCATAAAACGGCAGACCAAGGGATGTTGGCTAGCCGTCTTTCCCTCAAAACCCACATGGCATGCAGCAATAGCAGCCAGGTACACTTTGATCGTAGAGAAAGCTCTGTGTTTATCAATCAGGTCCTGTAGAAATGATAGAATCACCCCGACAGGACATTGAAAAGAGATTTGTCCTTTTTGAAGGCACCACTCCTCAAACACCCTCCACTTACAGTCATAGAGAGACCTGGTGGAGGAAGCTCTTGCACTCTGAATAGTGTTTATCACCTTCTGAGGGAGTCCCACTGTATTCAGGTTATACCTCTCACCACTGGCGGCACATATCAGACCCGGGCCGGGGGGCGGGGCCACATGACCGGGCCCTTTAAACCCAATAAAGCTTGACAAAAATATCGGGAGTCCGGGGTGGTAATCTGACGCTCGTGCGTAAAAAGTCGCTCAGTCAGTAAGATTACAATTTAAAACAATGTTTGAAAGAAAAGTAACTAAAGAAAAAGGTGTAATATTTAAAGGGATAGTGGAAATCCGCGAATTTTGGGTTTAACTTGTGTATTTTTATTAAAAAGAAGCATATTAAACAATTTTTTTTTATTTCATCCGCCTAGTTTCATTTTATTTTCAATTTTACTGCGCCCTCTCAATGAAACGAAATACTTCGGGAATCGTCGGGAATCTTCGGGTGATGACGAGAGCTCAGGAAGACGGGCACAAACAATAGCGGACATTCAATAGCATTTGCATGTGAATAGCCGACCTTTATTATGGTGAATAGATGTGTTTTGTATGGCTGTAGTGCGACAGAAAAATTCTACGTGACACAACGACATTGGATTAACCTTGAGATGCGTTTTTATTCCGTTGAACACAACTTTTGATCACAAATCAAAAAAGGTAAGACGTAATTATTGTAATATTTTTGGAACCGGATGTTGTTTACTTTCTCTTTTCTGGCTGATAGCTCCAGGAATTCGAGGTCTTACAGTGATGACATTACATGTGTGGAATCTGTGGAGTCTCAGCTTTAAATCGCATATCTTGTTTGTGCAGTTAAGATAGTAATAAGGGCATTTCTACCGTGTGTTGTGTGTAAAAAAGCGTTAGCATTAGTTAGCATTGTTTCGCTCAATGCTAATTCAAAGGCTTGGTATTACTCTTGTGTTTTTTCTAGCTAACAATTGTTCTTATTGTCAGTTAGCGGAGTTTCTTACCTTTAAAAGGGTATGAAACATTAATAGTTTCATAAATGTTAAGAAGCCCTGAGACATGTGAGAGAAAAAAAACGGTGGGAGGGGTCCACTGGGGGGACCTTCGGCCTTAACTGGTTAACAATGATTAATATTTGTAAAGGCTACAGGTGATCTTAAGATGCGTGAGCTATGCTTAGGGACCTACCAGTCAAGATTATTTGTGCGTAGGGGTGCATCATCTGGCGCCTGGTCCTGGTCATCCTCGCCATTGCCCATGCCGTGAACCATCACCTCGGGCTCGGGCTCGAACAAATAAGGACGTAATGGTCCATCTTCTGGCTCAATATTGTCACCATCGTCGCTTACTGAACCGGATTCAGATTCAGTTCCTAAAACGACATTTTCGTAGGAAAGCCGAGAGGATGTTTCTGACTCGCTATCATCACTGGATACCTCGTACAATCCTTCTTCTTTGTCTGGTATATTTGCCCTTCCACGTTCATTCTGCATAGACGCCATGGTTTGTTATCGTATCGTCTTCCTGAGTTTTCGTCACTTCCGGTTAGGCTGAGAAACATTTCGTTTCTAAAAAACTTCGGGGAAGCTGCAATAAAGTGCTTCTAACATGCGTAAGGCAATTATTATATTTTTGTAATCAGGTGTGATTGTTTTGGTACGTAATTATGCTTGTATATAAGTTAAAACGAAACTATTTGAGGTTCCATTTCCACTATCCCTTTAAGATTTCGTTTTTACAAAGGGTATAGAAACGAAATATATAACAGAGATAATAATGATATAACATGACATAAAGTCCAACAAACCACAAGGACAATGAAAACATAGCCTAATAAAATGACTACATTTCTGACACACCATTCACCATGGACAGCCACCATGAGAGCAGAGCAGTGTAAAATTGGCACGGCGGCCCATACATTCACGTACAAGTAGGCTACTGTACAAATTAAATTTGAAGTGTACTCACCACTACTTGAAGGGTACTCGGCGAGCCTTGCGCTCCGCGAACTTGTACACAATACGCTGTATGTCCAATTTCTTGGCTCGGTCACTTTCGATGGACAGCAAGAACAGTCCACTCAGTCTCTCCTGTCCCATCGTGCTCCTCAAATAGTTTTTGATGAGTTTTAATTTGGAGAAAGAGCGCTCGGCGGTTGCCACGGTGACAGGAAGAGTCAGAAATAAGATGAAGGCTGTGCAAACCTCACTGAATGTAGATGTTACTGCTGGGTTGTAAACAATGAGCATTTTTACCAGATCCGCGACAGATTTTAGTTTTTGTATTTGGTCCCTGAAACAGGTTCTGAAAGAAAGCAGCTGGCCAGGGAAGCTGGCGGCGATGTCCCGACTGTAGTGCTCTCTAAGCCGCTGAGCAGCTTGGTGTAAATCCTCATCCTTTGCTTGCAGTAGTGTGTTGGGGTGAATTGCCTCAAACATGTTCACAGTTTCATTTAAACTGGTGAATCTTTGGGACAGTTGCTGGATGATTATATCGAGACATGCATTGAAAACGGTCACCCGAAAGTTGCTCTCTGCGTCAGTGAGGCGGCTGTCTTCAGAAAGTTCATCAAAGTGTCTCTTAACTTTCCTGGCCCTGGTTGTTTCAAACTGTGTTTGACTTCCCCATTTAGTAGCCAGGGCAAGAGTGTCCGGTACTTCTTCACCTTGCGGCGCAGCCAGTAAGGAGCCGGAGGGGGAGGGGTGCGGCTGGTCAAGCGTCAGGCCTGGCTCTCCTCT